AACTTGGTTACAAAACATGATCATCTCATACAATAAAATATAGCATCATGCCTTGACCATATCACATCATGACATGCCCTGCAAAAACAAGTTAGACGTCCTCTACTTTGTTGTTGCAAGTTTACGTGGCTGCTACGGGCTGAGCAAGAACCGTTCTTACCTACGCACCAAAACCACAACGATAGTTCGTCAAGTTAGTGATGTTTTAACCTTCTCAAGGACCGGACGTAGCCACACTCGGTTCAACTAAAGTTGGAGAAACTGACACCCGCCAGCCACCTATGTGCAAAGCACGTCGGTAGAACCAGTCTCGCGTAAGCGTACGCGCAATGTTGGTCCGGGCCGCTTCATCCAACAATACCGCTGAACCAAAGTATGACATGCTGGTAAGCAGTATGACTTATATCACCCACAACTCACTTGTGTTCTACTCGTGCATATAACATCAACGCATAAACCGGGCTCGGATGCCACTGTTGGGGAACGTAGTAATTTCAAAAAAAATTCCTACGCACACACAGGATCATGGTGATGCATAGCAACGAGAGGGGAGAGTGTTGTCCACGTACCCTCAAAGACCGAAAGTGGAAGCGTTTGCACAACACGGTTGATGTAGTCGTACGTCTTCACGATCCGACCGATTAAGTACCGAACGTACGACACCTCTGAGTTCAGCACATGTTCAACTCGATGACGTCCCTCGAACTCCGATCCAACCGAGCTTTGAGGGAGAGTTCCATCAGCACGACGGCGTGGTGACGATGATGATGTTCTACCAACGCAGGGCTTCGCCTAAGCACCGCTATGATATTATCGAGGTGGACTATGGTGGAGGGGGCACCGCACATGGCTAAGAGATCCAAGAGATCAATTGTTATCCCTATGGGGTGCCCCTGGCCACGTATATAAAGGAGTGGAGGAGGGGGATAGGGTCGACCCCTATGGCGCGCCCTGGAGGAGTCCTACTCCCACCGGGAGTAGGATTCCTCCCCTTCCAAGTAGTAGGAGTAGGAGACAACAAGTAGTAGGAGTAGGAGACAAGGAAGGGAAAGAGGGAAGAGAAGGAAGGAGGGGGCGCTGCCCCTCCCCCTAGTCCAATTCGGACTAGTCATTGGGGGGCGCGTGGCCTGCCTCTCTCTCTCTCCCCTAAAGCCCAATAAGGCCCATATACTTCTTCCCCCGTATTCCCATAACTCCTCAGTAGTCCGAAAAATACCCGAACCACTCGGAACCTTTCCGATGTCCGAATATAGTCGTCCAATATATCGATCTTTATGTCTCGACCATTTAGAGACTCCTCGTCATGTCCCCGATCTCATCCAGGACTCCGAACTACCTTCGGTACATCAAAACACATAAACTCATAATATAACCGTCATCGAACTTTAAGTGTGCGGACCCTACGGGTTCGAGAACTATGTAGACATGAACGAGACACGTCTCCGGCCAATAACCAATAGCGGAACCTGGATGCTCATATTGTCTCCCACATATTCTACGAAGATCTTTATCGGTCAAACCGCATAACAACATACATTGTTCCCTTTGTCATCGATATGTTACTTGCCCGAGATTCGATCATCGGTATCTCAATACCTAGTTCAATCTCGTTACTGGCAAGTCTCTTTACTCGTTCCATAATACATCATCCCATAACTAACTCATTAGTTACAATGCTTGCAAGGCTTATAGTGATGTGCATTACCGAGTGGGCCCCGAGATACCTCTCCAACAATCGGAGTGACAAATCCTAATCTCGAAATACGCCAACCCAACAAGTACCTTTGGAGACACCTGTAGAGCACCTTTATAATCACCGAATTACGTCGTGACGTTTGGTAGCACACAAAGTGTTCCTCCGGTAAACGGAAGTTGCATAATCTCATAGTCATAGGTACATGTATAAGTCATGAAGAAAGCAATAGCAACATACTAAACGATCAAGTGCTAAGCTAACGGAATGGGTCAAGTCAATCACATCATTCTCCTAATGATGTGATCCCGTTAATCAAATGATAACTCATGTCCATGGCTAGGAAACTCAACCATCTTCGATTAACGAGCTAGTCAAGTAGAGGCATACTAGTGACACTCTGTTTGTCTATGTATTCACATATGTATTATGTTTCCGGTTAATACAATTCTAGCATGAATAATAAACATTTATCATGAAATAAGGAAATAAATAATAACTTTATTATTGCCTCTAGGGCATATTTCCTTCACCTCTCTTACCGGGAAATGTCTCCTAGTGCTTCCACTGAGCCATGGTAGCTTGCTACTGCTCCGGAACACTTAGGCTGGCCGGCATGTGTCCTTCTTCGTTCCTGTGTCTGTCCCTTCGGGGAAATGTCACACATTGTTTCTTTAAGTCATTGTAGCTTGCTACGACTTGGGTTCATACATTGATGACCAACACGTTCGTTGCTGGGTCATGTATGTCTGTCCCTGTAAGTTAGTGCCACCTTGGGTTTATGACTACTCATGCCGGCCCGTGTTCTCTGTCATATGGATGCTAGTGACACTACGATATACGTGAGTCAAAAGGCGCAAACGGTCCCGGATCAGGTAAGGTGGCACCCGTGGGGATACCGTGCGTGAAGTCGCAAAGTGATATGATGTGTTACATGCTAGATCCCTGTGACTTAGGATCAGGGTCCTGACATATTACCAATGTCAAAGGGGATGTTAACAATAAGCACATATGCAATATCTATTTTCTAAACCAACCATAGCATTTTTAAACAATTATATTGCTAAGTGTGTAATGCAAATATGGGTTCAACATGATCGAAGTAGGTTGCTTGGCTAGCTCAGCAAATTCTTCAAAGTCTTCTGCTCCTTCGAATCTCTCAAGAAAATCATTATCTAACATCAGAGACATAAGAATAAAGCAGAAACAAGCCACCCAAATAAGTAGTACAACCAAAGTGCTCAATTATTTTTGGAACCCATGTCTCTAGAATGGTCTTAAATTTAGAAACGGGAATCAATTGATTTGGGGTTGTGGATATTTAAATATGAATTTTCAAAGTTCGCTGTAATTTAGAAAAATATAAACATTGTTGTGCACACCAGGCCGAATAGATCCGACCCAGTTAACAAATGCACGCTCATAGCGGCATTTAACAGAAAAATGCTGATGAGCTCAGGTGGGCTCAACCCAGGTGCACAACGCTGTGACAAAGGGCCATGTCGAAGGCATAACAACATAAGACGCCTTTAGCCGAAACGGCATGCTCGTGTATTGGGGCGTTTAAACTTGATGGCTGGGGCCCAACCATCACTAAGAGAGAGAGAGAGAGGACTGGCAGGATGGTAGGTAAGTCCCACATGTCATCACCCACCTCGTGACTCCGACTAGGCGCTTGGGCTTACTCACCGAGGGCGATGCAGGGCATGACAAAGGAAATGGAGGGCACAAAAGGCTCCAAGAGGCTTGCGCACATCAGGTAGCGGTGGAGGCGGTCGCCAGCAGTGAGAAAATCGTCGATGGCAAGGGTCCCGTGTGGAGGCGTTCGACATTGATCAGCTTGTTTCTGAGAGTTCCTTATTTGGTCCTAATTAGAACTTTTCTTTCCTATTTTGCCCTAAATAATTTTCTTCTTTATTAAACACCACCTCTACATTTTATGCCTTTTGTGACACTTCGCCTATTCCATCAAAGACACGTCCCTTTTTGCATTGATGAAACTACCCTTGATTGTACAACAATGAAAAGAGGTTGAACAAGCCATTGGGCCCAAATCCCTCCTCTTCCCATGCCCCCTTACACTTGTCTTCGCCATAGGAGCACATAAGCAAGGGGGGCCCTCTCCTCCTCCAACCCGACAACCTCCCGCCTTCCTCCTTCCACCTGGTCGACACTGATGAGCATTTCGCCTCATGGTCGATGGCACCGGTCCAAGCTAGACTCCCACCTCTTCACCCACTCTTTGTTTCGCCAACACCCACCCTTCTCGTCATCGACGTCACTTCTCCGCCTGCCCTCCTCGCAAATGCAACCTATCTGTTTGCTGTGATTGATGTCTATGTCGACACATCCTTTGTGCAGCTTCAACCTTGACTTGAAACTTCGATGACGACGACACACATAATCTACCCCTGGCTGACGGTGGTGCCCAGTACGGTTAACGTTGGCGTCAGTGAAGCACTATGCTCAGGGTGCGCGCAAAACAATGCCACGATGGATGGTGTGAGGCGGCGATGGGTGATTAGGTTAGTTGAGCGCGGCATGGCATGACACGGTGAAACACGGCTCCATGTTGAGCATGGTGCACCATGTGGTGGTAGCCCATAACGCTCAAGGGGACAACGTCGCATGGAGACGACATTGCACATGGAGGGATGGTTCATGGATTGGCGTTGGTACGAATAAGCGCAACATCGAAGAAGGGTAGCACCAACTAGTGTTGTTGCCCAACGCTTCTTGCCGCCCGCCTCCTTCTCGCAGTTGTTGCTGGTGCCCGCTCACCACCTACACCGTCGATGCCAATGTGCTACTGCATGAGATAGATGGGAGGTGGGAGATTTAAGAGAAATTGTGTTGAATACTTATGTTCTTCTCTTTTTTCCAATATATTCAACCATGTCTCAAAAGTGGTCTGAGGGGTAAATGTGTCTTTTCAAGTATCACTTATAATGACTAAATGGATGGAAGTTGCGAGAAAGAGATAAAATTTAGAGGCAAGGTCAAATATGGAAGATATTTATTAGGTCAAATACCGAAGCATAATTTTAATTAGAACCAAATAAGACATAAAATTTAGAGGTAGTGCCAAACATGGAAAATAATTATTAGATCAAATAGTGAAGCAGAATTTTAATTGGAACCAAATAGGGAGGAATTCTCGTTTATCAAAATAAATAAATAAATAAGGAGGATTTTTCTTTTTTTATAAAGCAAAACGACACCCGAGAGACAGTCGCCGGGGAACCTGAGCTGGGTTACAGACAGAGCTCCACAACCCACCGTCGGCCGCTCGCTCCCCCACCACATCATGGCCTCACAATTACCTACTCCGCCGCCCCCCGACGCCGACGACCCTCCGTCGGCCCCGAACTCCGACGCCCCTCCGTCGCCTCCACAGCTCCAGGTCTCCCTCCCAAACGATATCCTGGAGGAGATCCTCCTCCGCCTCTCCACCGCGGCCGACCTCGCCCGCGCCTCCACCTCCTGCACCTCATTTCGCCACGTCGTCGCTCCCCGCTCCTTCGCGCGCCGCTACCGCTCCCTCCACAAGGTCCCCGTGCTCGGCTTCCTCCGTGCTGACTTCTACGCCGCCCAGTCTCCGCACCCCTCCGCCCCGGCCGCCAACGCCCTCGCGCAGGCTGCCGACTTCGCCTTCAGCTTCCTCCCCAACCCCGCCTGCTGGAGCCCCCGTGACGTCCGCGACGGCCGCGTTCTCTTCTCCGCCGTCTCAGTCTCCGAAGGTCGTGGCGACTTCATAGACGCCACCTCCAACACCTTCGTGGATCTCGTGGTCTGTGATCCCCTGTCCCGGCGCTACATCCAGATCCCACCCGTCCCTGAAGACCTAGCGGACTCCGTCCAGCACTGCGGCATGTTAGATTTCGAGCCCTTCTTTGCTCCGGCCAGTGACGACGTGCGGGAGGATGAATCGTCGTTCAAAGTGATCTGCAAGGTGCTGTGCGAAAACAAGATTGCTGTCTTCATCTTCTCTTCACACACTGGTAAATGGGTTAGTATTCAACACCATGGTTTGGGCGCTTTGTCCAATGAAGTTGTGGATGCATTGTATGCACGCTGTGGACTACATCGGCGCCATTATGCACACGGTTGTTTCTGTTGGGTGTTAGAATGGATGGACAAACTGCTCATGCTTGACACACGTGAGATGAAATTCACCATTATAGATCTCCCGCCCAACAGTCATGGGGGAAGGCTCGCCATTGTGGAAGCAGGAGAAGGTATGATTGGGTTGTTAAATATTGGTATGCGCACGTTAGACTTCTACTGTAAGGTTTGGCGAAACAAAAGTAAAGGCACCAAAGAGTGGCAGCACAGCACGATAAACCATCCGTTGCCCAATTATCACTGGTGCATCATAGGTGCGGATGAGGAGTACTTACTCCTAAGAGGGATTTCACTAGATTGGCCCTGGTTTGGAAGCTCTTCACAGCAGAGACCGGATATAGAGTATTTTGCATTGGAACTCAAGACATTCCTGCTTGAGAGGATGTATGTGTCAAAGAACAAAATGATGCATGCTCACCTGTATCGAGGCTTCCCGCCATTATTGTCTCCACCAAGCATATGAGGTAGTAAGGTTGCTACTGCAAACTTCCTTTGTGTTTTTAGCAGTCGATAGTTACTTTATGTTGTTGATATGCTTTGCCATCCTTCTTGTAAAGCAAGTCAAACCAGGGAATGCAATCATGATTGTTTCTTGTGCAATAAACTAGCTGTTCTGAAGACTGATTTTTTGCACTAGTTGTTTTAAGGTTCGCAACAACATCACTTGTCGTAGATTACTGCCATAGCGCCTATATGGCAGTTATGCATGTTTCTTTTTGAGATCCCAATTATGCATGTTATGTGGACCAGCCCATCAAACGTGGAGTCTTACCCCTTAATTAGTGTCTTAGTTGATTAAGCATCTTTGTTAGGAAAGAGTCGAGTCAGTTTTTGAGACCGTGTTAGAGCTTGAATAGAGTTACCGACTTGTTGGTCAAGTCTTGTCTATTATATAAAGGGGCCGACCCCTTTCAATAAAGCAGAGAAGAATATTTTCGTTTACTTTTATCTACTTTTGAGTAATTAGGGTTAGGTCATAGTAGATTCCTCCAATTTGGTATGAGATCCATCTCGATGGCGGGCAAAGAAATCGAGGCTGTGGGGCAGATGAAGATCACCACGAAGCAATTGGAGACCTTCACGCTCCAACGAGGGGAGGACCAGGTGCTCCTCGACGGGCTGGTGCAGCGCTTGACGACACTCGAGCAACGGCTGCCGGCCCTGCCCCCACCTTCAGATAACATGACTGCAACAGCTGCCCATGACGCCACCTCTGGGCCCCCGGCCCTCCACCCTAGCGACCTGGTGCTTCCCCTCGCCAGCAGCACCTCCGGTGCCCCCTTCTCCAGCGTGGCCATCGCCGCCGCCGCCTCTACCGCCTTCATGCCTCCACCTGCCAACCGATTTCGTGACGTTATGGCTGCACCCCCCTCCACAACCCATCTATGGACCCACCTCGCCCATCACCTCCCTTCTGCCCCTACTTAACAATCACCTCGGATTAGGTTCTGGTTCAGGCGTGCCTTGCTTCCACAAGCTCGGCTTCGCGACATATGCTGGTTCGGTCAATCCTCTTGGTTCGCTAAATAGGTGCGAGCAGGAGGCTGACAAGGTCTGAGCTGCAGCCTACCACCTCACCAATGACACTCAGTTCTGGTACTTACATCTCGAGGGCGACTTTGGCATGCCAACATGGGAGCAGTTCAAGGAAGCTTCCCATGTTTAGTTTGGGCCGTCACTTCGCGCCAATCCTTCGGGTGAGTTGGCACGTCTGCCGTTCACTTCCTTGGTTGCCGACTACACCAGCAGGTTTCTATTGCTCATGTGCCACAACAATGAGCCATTAACACCGTCCCAACAACGGCTTCTGTACACAGCAGGGCTGCCTGATCGTCTTCACATTGACGTCGAGCTTCGGTGGCCATCTTACCAACATACTGCCATCTCCTTCGCCAAGGCCTATGAGCAGAAGCATTTCTCGACAACAATGCCATCACACCAGCCCTCTGGTCCTACAGGGCCCTTGTGCCCCTCCAATCTTCCCGCGGCCAACGCAGCTACAATACCTTCCCCGCCAGCGCCACTACCACTTATTCTGTTGTCGACCATTCCAGAGCCAACCCCGCCACGGCAGGTTTGGCGCTTCACTCCAGCTGAGTTAGAAGAACGTCGCAGCCAAGGCCTTTTCTTCAACTGTGATGAGATTTATGTTCAGGGTCAGCGGTGTGTGCGACTCTTCTTCATCGAGTCTGATGACGACGACCAAGAAAGCTCCACATCTGGTAGCACCCAAGGCTCCCTGGGAGGCAATTGACAACCTACAGCCACAAGAGTTAAGGGAAATAAGCTGAAATGACCATCTCCCTGGGCTGTACTGGTATCAAGATAGCGTATTCATGAGAGTAATTGGGTTGGGGTTTCAGGGAAGTGTTTAGGCAAAGTGCATAGAAAGTTGTAAACCGGCCTATATTTTGGGTCCGAAATATTTGTTAGATTTGTTTCCGACATAGTACTAGCTACACATACTTTTCTTTGGTTTAATTCCAACAAAAACATTTTTCGTGGCTTTGATATTTCTTGTAGCACATAATTCTTCCATGAAGAGTAAGTACCATACATAATTAGGAAAGAATTTGGTTAAATTGATTTTGCAAAAATACATGCGGTCATTTTGAAAACTTATCTTAAAGTTTGTGGTTGGAGCATTCGGATAACTATAACATGGTTCAAATAGATATGATTCCTATTAGTAACTCTAATCTGTGGTATTTGTGCTCTCCTGACACATTCTGCAGGACATCTCGAGGGGACAAAGCACCGTGGATATCAGCATCTGTACGATGGCTTTACTGTAGAAGAATACATCGGTTGCTACTGACACTGAGGTTACTGGAAACTAAGGTGTTTGGGAAAGGTTGAAGTTCAGTAGTGGGATTTGCTCGAATTGCAGGAAATTCAACTGGTGTATGGTATTTGTCGGGGCTTCCTAAAACATGATCTAATCCTCTATGCAGAAGAATTTACTTTTGGTGGTCTGGTTCATTCCAGGAACATGGATGTTCGGAAGGCCAAATTGCCTCCCAAATAAGATCTTGTGGGCTTGCCCCATAGCACTAAAAGACGGCATTCCGATAGCAGTTCAAGTTGGCATATAGACACCGGCCAGGAAATGATTAATTTTCTTTCCGTGAAGTGAAGGAGAATGCTAATCACAGATCTTGATTTGTGGTCTAGCTTAAAAGAAATATTTGTTTGGGTTTCCATTGAACTTTCTTCTATGAGTTGGTTTCACCAGGGAGGGGAACCTGGTGATTAATCATGGTGTTGGGTTTGGGATGTGTAACCTGGGTTTTGTGGAGGGTTTGGAATCAAATGCCTATGGGGGTCGACTAATCAAGGCCGTGTTGCATCAAGCTGCTCAAGGAGAACAAAAATGTCTTGGAAGACAGGAGGTGGCCATCTGATCGTGGCGCTATCTTCTTGATCTCTTGGTGTTAGTCTGATTTTGTGGTGTGGTCTTGTTCTGTACTCTGCTGGTAGGGTTGTTGTTATATTCTGTTTTGATGCTCGTGTGTTGTGAGTCTGCCATGTTCGGTGAGTGTCACCATCTTCCTTGTATCTGCGAGCATGTTTCTTATATACTTCAAAAGCTCAGGAGTTTTTTTCCCCATTTTGTCTAAGACATCAGCTACTATCGGTTGTCTACTGGCTGTGATGACATCGATGTGTAGTTTGATTTGTCCTGTACAAATCTGAATAGATAAATAAATTGAATCTGTTTATAACCAGCTTATGTCTGCCCTCCCATTCTTGTCCAAGTTCTTGTTGTTACTCTGCTAATCGCCACCTATGATCGCGGGGGGTGATGTGGCTGCTATGGATGGTCAAATTTGACAATTTGATAATATCTTCTGTTGGAGTAAGAACTCCTAAAGTGTTGGTAGATTTGTGGAATACAGAAAGGAATCAAGACTGGTTCGTCGCTGCCTTTCATTTGAGATAATTGTCCAATAACTGGTGTAAGACAAGTCGTTTTTTTTTTTTGCGAAATAAGATAAGTCGTTTCGTAGAGCAGCTGCAGTCAAGTACATGCATCTTTCTAACCTATGTGCTCGGAATAATCAGCGAGACAGTGAATAGTATGAGGGACATTGCTCCTCTCTTACCTGTCATTCGCTAAGAGCTAACTCCAACGTGCCGACCTATTTTGTCCGCGCGTGTTCATTTGGGTCGTGGCGGACAAAAAAGTCAGACCAACGCGCCAACTCAAATGGACGCGCGTCCGCTTTTCGTCCGTCTGCTGACCCATTCGTTGGCCAATTTTGAGCCTCATTTACGTCAGCGCGGACACGAGACGGCCGCACGCGCCGCGAGCCAACTACTCCCTTGGCCCGCCAGTCGGTGGCAAAGCGTCCACCATTTTCCTCCACTTACCCAAAAACCCTCCCACCCGCGCGCGCTCCCGACCGCTCGCCATGGACGATGCCCTCGATGCCGCCGCGGGCCTCACCCCCATTGCCTCGTCCGCCATCACCTCCGTCCCCTCTGGCAAAGGCAAGCCCCACGCTACCCGCAAGACCGCCGCGGCGCCCAAGAAGAAGAAGCAGCCGACGCCCGAGCAGCGGGCCATGGAGTCGGCGAAGAGTGACGACCGGAGGCATGCGACGGACGCAAGGGGCGAAGCAGCGGCGGCCGCCGCCCTCGCCGCCGCCGCGCAGCAGGAGGAAACCAACGCCCGCGCCGTGGCGGTAACAAGGGAGGCCCTGATCTACCTAGGGTTAAACCCTGGCAGCACGGGCTCATCAACGCCGCCGTGGCCGCGGCCAGCACCGGTTTGTCCGCGTTTCCTCGGATGGTGCTGCCAGAGTCGCCCCGCGAGTCGGCGACGCACCCGGTTCTCGGCTTCCATGTCTACCCGCAAGCCTCCCGACACTCTGAGGAATGTCCGCCGGAGGTGAGCGTGGTGGCACCTTCCACGCCCGCGCCTATGCCCATCGACCTCAACGCCACGCCGGTGGATGGCGCCTCATCATCCAGAGGGCCAAGGAAACGCGCGCGCGAGATGCCAGCCGACGTGCTCCCCGGCGCCCACAACCTGTTTGACAGAATGCTGGCGGCCGGTGACGACGAGACGACCAACCGTTTCATGGAGAGCAACATCTTCGAGGGTGGTGCGGCGGCTGCTAGCTCCACTAGCAGTGCCGCCGCTGGCTATGATCCCGACGAGACCCAAAGCCAATACGCCCGAGAGCCGTTCACGCCGGCAACCTATGATCAAGTGCACGACGCCTTCATGGAAGATCGGGTCAGCCTAGATGGATTCCCTACCGACCACGAGTTCCTGGAGGACTACAACCTCGAGGAAGAGGATGAAATGGACATCGACGATGAGCCTTTGTTCGAGGAGGAGCTCGCCAACCAAGCCACCGGGGCGAAATCGAAGCGCAAGAGCAAGCGGACGAAGGCATACCCGGCTCCCGAGGACAAGCTCCTTTGTGAGTGTTGGAGGGACATTGGGAAAAA